TATATATATATATATGTATATGTATATATGTAGGAACTACTTTTTATACTCCATGTATTACTTGATATATAAACCTGTTTATTTATTCACTGTAAGTTTATTTTTTTCCTACACAGTAACCTGTGCTATTTTAATTTATATATCAAGAGATATTTCTCATCACATTGTGTGTAAATACTTTATTTCAGCTCTTCAAAGGCTCGTACTTCTTTTTTAAAGAGCATGGGAAATCCTGCCTAGAAAATGCAAAATCACATATGAGGCAGTGATTTTTCAAGTGGTGTAAAGGAGGATGGTTAACCCGTATTAGAGAATGACTTACTCTGTGTATTCCATGGATGCACGTTTGATGTTAATTTGCAGGGAAAGTTAAAAGGTTGACGATGTAATCAAAGCTGGATGTGGTGATGTTCAAATGTGCATTGGATGTATTGTTAAGCACACGCACGTCATAGAGACATTTGGAATAAATATTCCACGTGGGAACATCGTTATTGCTGTGGTCATTTATTGAAATATATTGTCACAGTCTTTGCTTCTGAAACCCCTTCCTCCTTTACCCTCCCGTTCCTCAAGCAGTTTTGTGCGTTGGGATATAAGGATGCTGTTTCATGCGTGCAGAGCTCCTGGTACCGTGGTCCCAGGTCTGCCTTACTGCCTTTGGGCTGCCACTTACCAGTGGGGCTCCCCTTGCCCACCTCCCACTTGTCCCCTTCCTCCCCAGGGCCCACAGCCTCTTCCTCAAGGTTCCTTTCAACTTAGAAATAGGCCTGCGACTCTTCCATCTTAAGACATAAACACCTCACTGACTTTTGCTCCTACCCTGTCCTCCCTACCTGCCCTTCCTCCCCCATAGGCTCCCAGCCAGGAACATTCTCTCCTCACTTCTGCTTCCATAGCTGAGCCCTGGTTGCACTGGTCCTCCCTGCTCCTCAGATTTCTTCCTTACTACTGTGACCCACCTGCTTTGCCAACCCTGCCCCTCTTCATTCTCACCCACCCTGTTGACTGCTCCTTCCCCCCGCCTCCACATCTTTCTTGACACCTTCTCCATCCCATAGGCTCCCACCTGGCCTCTTAGCTCCCCCATCCTGCCTCCTGGATCCCCTGCTCTTTTGTGCTGGTGAAAACCAGGGCCTCTCCTCTCCCCAGGCCACCTCAGATGTAGCATGGCTGGTGGTCTCCCTGCCAGCCTGTGTCCTCCCTGGAGGCTACAGCTCTCTATCTGGGGTCTTCCTTAACCCTCTGACCCCATGGCTACCAGGCTACCAACCTCTCTGCCAATCCCCCAGGACTGATCTGTGAACTCAGCTTCAGACTCATTTTCTAAAATGCATCTTGTAAAAGTGACTTCTGCAACATCATTGTCATTACCATGACAGCAGCAGGCTTGTTCAGGACACAGTCTGAGGACCTGGACCACACACCTGCATCACAGGTGGGGGCTTCAGTGCTGCAAATCCCATGAAGCTTTTGGCACGCTTCCCCTGGAGCTCTACAAATTAAACACTATCCGTATCAGAATCTCAGCTGACTTCTTTGTAGAATTGACTAGCTGATCCTAAAGTTCATATGGAATTGTAAGGGACCCAGAAGAGTCAAAGAAATCCTGAAAGGAACAACAAAGTGAGAGGAAGACTCACACTTCCTAATTTCATAACTTACTACAAAGGAATGGGAAGTCAGACAGTGTGGCATTGGCATAAGGACAGGCATATCACCAGTAGAGTAGGATTGGGAGTCCATCAGTAACCTGAGAGTCAACTGGTTTCCAACAAGGGTGCTAAGGCTGTTCAATGAGGGTAGAAGTCTTTTTGGCAAGTGGTGCTGGGACAGCTGGATTTCCACAGGGAGAAGAATAAAATTGGACCCCTACCTCACACCATATACAAAAATTAACTCAAAATCAATCAAAGACCTAAATGTGGGACCTAAAACTATAGAACTCTTAGAAGACAATGTAGGGGTAAATTTTCAAGACTCTGGATTTGGCAAAGGACCATGAGATACAACTTCATATCCACTAGAATGACTAGAATCAAAAAGTCAGATAACAAGTGTTAACAAGGATGTGGAGAAACGAACCCTCAAACAGTGTTGGTGGAACTTTTAAATGATGCAATCACTTTGGAAAAAAATCTGGCAGTTCCCCAAATGATTAAACATAGAGCTACCATATGACACAGCAATCGCACCCTTAGGTATTTACCACTTCTAGGAGTATACCCAAGATAAATGAAAGTATATGTCCACCCAAGAACTTGTGCACAAATGTTCATAAAAGCATTATTTATAATAGCCAAAAGGGGGGAGTAATCCAGATATACATTTATGGATGAATGGATAAAATGTGGAACATACAGACAATAAAATATTATTCAGCCATCAAAAGGAAAGAAGTACTGATAATGCTGTAATGTGGATGAACCTTGGAAATATTATGCTAAGTGAAAGAAGCCAGTCACACACAACCACACATTTACACATTATTATGATTCCATTTGTATAAAAGTGCAGAACAGGGAAATCTATAGGGACAGAAAGTAGATTAATGGGTGCTTAGGGCTGGGGAGGGAAGATGGGGGATGATTGGTAGAGGGTTCAGAGTTTCTTATTGAGTGACAAATGTTCTAAAATTGGCTATGATGATGTTGCATGTCTGTAACTATACTAAAAACCACTGAATTGTACAGTTTAAATAGGTGGATTAAATTTCTGGTATGTGAATTATATCTCAATAGAACTGTTAAAAAGAAAGATGTTTCAGTGGGAGCAACACTGTCAGGCTTGAGCTTTAGGAAGAAGACTCTGGAAACAATGGTTATGACAGACTCAAGAGATTAAGGAGGCTAGACCACCAGATAGGAGTTGGTTGGAACTCTTTAGGTTGCAGACGCAGAAAATCAAAGCAGAGGAGTGTCAGAGGCACGGCCAAGAGGGGAGGCAGATCGGGGTATCTGGAAGAAGTCACCCGTACTCGCTGAGCCTAGCTTCTCTTCCTCCACTCCCTTTTGAACACATTGTAATCAACTGCAAGAATTAATCGCAATTCTTGTTTTATAACACACTCTTATTGTTGATCCACACTTGGCACTCTGTATTTACATGTTCAATTTTTAATAATGTCATAAGGACTCATAGACTTCTCACCCAACTAGAATTTTGATGATAACATATTAAACTCATCACTCATTGCTTCGCTTTGCATATAGTTTCATTGCATCTATACCTATTTTTTAAAGTATATTTTTATTTTTTGATGGTTTCAATTTTTTTTTACATCAAAAAAGTGTATCATGCAGAATGTGAGCTTTAGGGACTTTGTCTTTAAACTTGATGCTGTAAAGCTATGTCACCTGCCTTGTCGTGTGTGCACCTGCTGTGCATTCATTTAGGCTTCCCTGGGGTCCTCCGTCTGGCAAACACACCATGGTTCATTCATCCAGGCTCCTGTTGATGGAGATTAGGTTGTTCCCAGGTTGTAAAAAATTGTCAACAGTGCTGCTGAAACATTCTTGTACGTGGGTGAACATGTTGTGTCAGCTTCATGTGGAAGTAGCTTATTAGGAAGCGTTCTCATGAGCAATCAGTGTGGTTCTGAGCAAGTGGCACCGGGAAGGCCGAGCCAGCCAAACTTCACAGCATGTGACTTGGGTTCAATGCCTCAAGACAGGGAGAGTCACACCTTGAAGTGGCCCAGGAGGGGCAAAGGAGCTGGCATTTGATGTTCTCTGAGATTATTTTACATGAAGTCTATTTTTAAATTATAGTTGATTGTTTGTTGCTGGTGTATAGAAATGAAATTCACTTTTCTGTATTCTCACACCTGGCCATATTGCTAAACACTCTTATTATTTATAATGATTTGTCCGTAGATTCTGTTATGATTTCTATGTAAATGATCTAACATCTTCAAATAATGACAGTGTTTTTCAATTTTTTAAGTCTCTCTTTTTTTTTCTTATCGTACAAGCTCAACTCTCACACCATGTTGAATAAGAGTGGGTATTCTTGTTTGGTTTATAATTTTAAAGATAGTACTTCTAATGTTTCCCCATCTAGAATGTTGCTTGCTATTTTTTGTTTGTTTTTAATATATACACATTATCAGGTAATGGGAGTTTCCTTACATTCTTAACTTATAAATTTTTATTGTGTTGAATTTTGTCAACTGCTTTTACTGTTTCCATTAAATATCTTTTTTTCTCTGTAATATATTAATGTGATAAATTACATTTACAGATTTTCTAATATTAAATTATTTCATATGCCTGAAATGAACCCAAATTGGTAATGGTCCTTTTTCTAATCTTTGTTCTTTCTGTTTCTTTCTGAGAGTTTTTCCACTTGGTCTTCCATTTCACTAAATCATCCTTTAGCTGTATCCATTCTATTATTTATTCCACCTACTTGTTCTTTATTTCAACAATTATATATTTCATACTGCTATGGTTTAAATGTATCACCTCCAAAATTCAGGTGTTGAAAGTTAGTGGCTGATGTAATGGTATTAAGAGGTGGAGCCTTGAACAGGTAATTAGATCACAGGGGCTCCTCCCATTTTTAATGGGATTAAGGCTGTTATAAAAGAGGCTTCACACAGCATCTTGTTTTCCTGTCCTTCCACCACATGAGGCTTCAGCAGCAAGGTGTCATCTTGGAAACAGAGAGCAGCCTTTACCAGATACTGAACCTGCCAGCACCTTGGTCTTGGACTTCCCAGCCTCTAGAACTGTGAGAAATACATTGTGTTATAGCAGCATAAAATGGACCAAGACATGTACCAATTACCCCCACTGGTTTCTCTTTATGTTTCTTCTTCTTGTTTCATGATATAACCCCTTCTTTACTTGCTTTACACCTATTTGTCATGTTTTGACTAATGGTTCTATTTTTGTTTCCAATGGAAAATAATTTAGTTTTTGTTTATCTTTTGATATAGTTGTGCTCTTCAAGTGTTTTGTAACTCGTGAAGTCATATTCCACCAGGGCACCGGCTATATGTGTGGGTCTGTGTCCACACCTGAAGCTCAAGGATACAGTGCAGCAGGTAAAGAGCGAGTCCCAGATGGAGAGCCCCAGGCAAGAGAAATCTGTAATTGGTCATCCTTACTCCTCTGTCCCTGCCCAGGGAGGAGCAGTTTTAGGAGGCAACACTCCTGTTGAACACTTGTTGGGACTAAAGGGGAAGGGATGATCTGAACATGGCAAATAATCACCTCGTCCTCAGACCTCTTGGACTTCACTCCTTCAGGACACCTGGGTGAGTTGTCGCTGCAGGTGTGGGGGCGGGCACTGACTCTTCCTAAGCCTCATGGGGCATTGGTAGATACAGAGCTACAGCAGCCTATTTCCTCTGGGTTCATGCTGTGGCAACACGGGTCACCTCCTGCCCCAGGAAGTACCACCACTACCTGCAAGTGCACCCTGTGTGCACACCCCCCTCCCATTCAAAACAGCCTCAGCCCCCATCTCCCCAGGGGTTTCTCACTTTTTCAATGATCCTGAAGTGTTCCTTTAGGACTCCTCTGTGGCTACATCAAGGGAGGGCGCCAGAAGTCTCCATTGCTCAGCATCTTCGTGAAGCTGGATCTGATCAGTTCTCACCTCCAGCTGCAGCTCCAGGCTGCAAATGCCCCCCACGTTGTTAAATCCATTGGGCCCTGTCACCTTCATCTCCCCATTGGCACAGTTGGTCACTCTCCTGCTCGAAGCTCTTTTCCCTGGGCTTCAGAACCTCCATTCCCTGGTTTCTTGGCCCTGGCAGTTCCATTTTGCTGCAATTTTAGACCTTGGCCTCCTTCTCTTTTCTACCCTGTTCCCTCCTTAGGTATCTCATCCAGCTCCTNCCCATTCAAAACAGCCTCAGCCCCCATCTCCCCAGGGGTTTCTCACTTTTTCAATGATCCTGAAGTGTTCCTTTAGGACTCCTCTGTGGCTACATCAAGGGAGGGTGCCAGAAGTCTCCATTGCTCAGCATCTTTGTGGAGCTGGATCTGATCAGTTCTCACCTCCAGCTGCAGCTCCAGGCTGGAAATGCCCCCCACATTGTTAAATCCATTGGGCCCTGTCACCTTCATCTCCCCGTTGGCACAGTTGGTCACTCTCCTGCTCAAAGCTCTTTTCCCTGGGCTTCAGAACCTCCATTCCCTGGTTTCTTGGCCCTGGCAGTTCCATTTTGCTGCAATTTCAGACCTTGGCCTCCTTCTCTTTTCTACCCTGTTCCCTCCTTAGGTATCTCATCCAGCTCCT